ATGGGAAAAGGGCAAGTTAACACTGCAAATGTAGTGTGCCAGGCAGCAATGCCCACCGTGCTGCTCTGGGCACGCTGCCTCCAACTGGAAGCAGAGGGTTCAGAGGTGCCCGTGCCCGTGCCCGTGCCCGGCACATCGGAGCATGCTGCTGCTTGGAAAAGTCTCTCTGGGGTGTAGACGTGCCTTCAGGTGCAGGCACCCCACTTCACGTTATGGCCCTAATTCTGGAGAGAGCTTTCGCACATGCTTTATTCAGAGTACTTGTCTGTGTGCTTTGCTGAATTAAACCCAATAATATCTATCAGCCCCCTGACTGCCTCAGACATTCCTTTTCAGCTGCTTTTCAAGTGTCATCTTTTCCCAGAGGACATTTCTCTAATCCAGTGGACAAAAACAGGGACTATTTCAGTTTTTTGAAAAGTTTTTGAGCATTTTTTCTCCGTAAAATTATAGGGAGTTATGAAATTCTGAGCTGCATTCCCACCAGAACCATCCCAGATAACTATATTGTAGACAGAGACGGTGGAGCACTGCTTCCATCCTAAGTGGGGCACTCACCCAAAAGCAGGCCCCACTCCAGCCAGAAACTGAAATAATTCAATTGCCTGTTGACAGCAAGAAGCACCAATATTTTACCTTGTGACCCTCAACAGAGAGTCTAGAAATGGGTCAAGCTGGATCAGAGGCATAAATTCTTGCTTGGCGTCCACCGATTTTCAATGGCAGTTGGTTACCTGCCTACCCTTTCAGCCTTTGAGAACCTCCGTCTAGTCTCTTGACCTTATGGTTGCAAAGATGATCTTAAAAACATGACCCCAATGTAAAATAATGCAATGTAAACAAGTGCCTGAGTGTGCAGGCAGTCTGGAACAACAAATCATTGGTACATTTTACATCAGTGAACAATATTTTCAACCCTATGCCATAGTCCTGCACGTGTAGGGGAGCAAAACGGGAACGAAAGGTATTTCACAATGATAGACTCTATTCATAGTACTTGGGAATTTGGTTCTAACATGCCACAGAGCAAATGGGGCCTGGTATACAGGCAACTCAAGGTTTTCAGAACGGATTGTAAACTACTAGGCCATTAGCTCATCCAGTCTGGGCTCCTGTGTACCCAGGCCCATTAAGCCCTGCACTGAGCCCAATCCCTCCTGCTTGGCTACAGCACATCTTCCAGGAAAGCATGAAGCCTTGATCTGATAACCTCAAGGAATGGAGAAAGCACTGCTCTTCAGCAGTCCATCCCAAGGGTTAATGATTCTCATGGGTAGAAAAGTAATGTCTTGTTTGGATTTTCCTAGCTTCAGATTCTACCCTTTGGTTCTTGTTATGCCCGTCCAGATTATAAACTGTATTCAGTACTAGATTAACAAGCTCTTTAGTACCTGCCATTTGATACCTGGGGAAGTAGTTATTCAATACAATACAATCACCTCTCTGTCTTCCTTCTGCTGAACTACTCGCAGCGATCTCTTTAAGCCTCTCACTGTAAGGCATTTAAGCAGTCTTCAAATGATTGTTGGGGTTATTTTCTGTACCTCTGCAATGATAGATCCTGGATGCCTTAGTCTGGTACCCGACCTGACACATCCAGAACATGCATCCCCCCACGTTATAAGCTGCTTTCGAAAACCTTGGTTGAAGAACTTAGTCTTCGTTGTCTGCTGTTCCAAGCAGGCACTTGCTGGAATAGCTGGTATATGGATAATCTCTGACATGATTCAGAGATGTCTCCAGAGAACAGGTGGACAGAGACACAGCGTAAGAGTTAAGGGCAGTTAGGGAACATCCTTTTTGAACCCTCAGCATTTGATTTATTTTTTGTGCGTACCGGCTGCGTTCCAATAATGTGTTATGTATGATCCGAGTGCCATTAATACTGATTTACAGCCTTACTTCATTGTTCAAATATTTCATCAGCAAGCACCCTGCCATTCCGATCCAGGGTACGACCCAAGTCTCTGGTGCTCTCTATTTACACTGCGGGAGCACAAAGAGGTGCATTGTTCAGGACCCCACATGAATGCATACAAATTGCCATCCAGAAAGTGCCCTGAGGGCAACAGTCATGACACACAGAGGCCTAAAGGAAAGTCATGAGAGCAGTCCATTTTTGTTTGCTCAAGTGAAGTGGCAAAAAAACCCAGTCACAACAGAAGCCTAAAGAGCCCAATGGAGAGGTGTGCACCGGTAACTGGAACTTCCTACTGTGAGGTCACTGGTCCCAACTCAGCCAAAGCTGGCAGTGACTGGGAGAGGTTATTTCCATCGGAGGGGTCTTTGGTCCCTCCGTGGAACCACTGGGTGGGTTGCAGCTGGTCCCTTCATCACAGTGGGCATGGTTGGCAGCAGCTACAAGGATTTCTTAGGCCATTAAGAGAGAGACCGAACACTTCTGTCCTCCAGGAGTCTAAACATGGCCCTTCCCAGCCTAGACTGGGAACGGTGGGAGCCGTGAGAGAGAAGCTCCTCCTCTGCGGTGGCCAAGCAGTGCCTCTTGGGGCTGGCGTGGCTAGCTCCCACCTTCCCCTGCAGGGATTTTCGCTAAGCAGGAAGTACAAGGGAGTCTCTTAGCTCCAAAAATAAGCAGGGGGATTTCCTTCAGTCATCAGCCTGTCCAGCTGAGAGTTACCAAGAGGGCCTGACATGAACTGTTGAGCCTACAAGAGCAAGACATAATGACCAAGGCTTTCCTGCAAGTCAAAAGGAAGGAAACATTGACTTGAAAAGCACAAATCACCACCACTATGTATACACACAGCCTCAGTCATGAGCTGAGCTCTTCGGAAGCAGACCGCTGGGCCTTCAAAATGTTGTCCTCCTCGGGCTTTGAGGGAAGTATAAGGAGCTATTTTCCAAAGCAGCAGTAAGCCCCTATCCCCTCGAGAAACAATAGCATGTGAACCTGGGGATCATCTTCTCTAGGAGAAGGCACAAGCCTTTGGATAATGTTGTAGATGGCAAAAGGCTGCGCTGACAAGCCACTGCCATTAGAAAACGAAGCATAAATATGCTACCTTTGCACAACTGATATGATTCAGGGTAAAGGGCAAAAAAAATTTCCTAGATAATTCTGAAACTAGATATCTTGACTAAAAGGCTCAAGGCCCTTTGGACAGCTAGCAAAGCATTATAGGGATTTGGCTAGCTGCTTAACAACTGCACGAAGAGCCTTGTCTCGATAAGCATAACGATAGCAGCTAGCCAAGCACCAGCACAGATCGGTCAGCCAAAGAGACTAGGATTTGAAACCAAGCTGCGATGGTAGTTTGCCAGGGAGCCTGTTTCAAGCCTGTGGCGGGTGGAAGAAAAAAGCAAACAAAAATAAAAGACATATAATGATTTACAACGCAAGGAATCTAGGCTGTGCCACAAGCCACAGAGTTCATCCAGGCTCTGGTTTAAAATATGCAGAGAGAAAAGCGAACCGGAGGGGCCTTGACTGCATCAATAACTAACTCAACTGTTCAATCATTTGGAGATGAGAAATTCAAGAAGAAGTTGCTGCCATCAGCAAGATAAAAGAGTTGTTCAGAAACTGCCTGATTCTTATCTCGGCAGGGTTCAAAGTCACTGCCGGGGCCCCTTTTCCTTGTGCAAGTTTCTGGCCTTTCCCCGTCAAAGGGTCCCCCACAAAGCCACCACACTTTCGCCCCTTTCTTTCTCCCCTGAAAAGGTAACAGAGTAGTGTGTCCCCCTCTCCACACCTGGCCTGCCCTTGGGGAAGTGTCTAGGCAGCCTGGGACTGAATCCCCAGGAGCAGAGAAGGACTCGAGTCTTGGCGGCAGCTCCAGCGCTCTCCCTCTTTCAGGAGGCACGATGCGGCTACGTCATCATCCTGATGGCCCTGTTCTGGTGCACAGAAGCATTGCCGCTGGCCGTCACAGCCCTCTTCCCCGTCTTGCTGTTCCCGCTAATGGACATCATGGATTCGACCCAAGTAAGCGATGCAGCACTGCCACATCAGCGCGTCTGTCAGTCTGCCTCTCCTGGGGCGTCTGCCTGTCTCGGTCTCACCAGTCAGTAGGAACCAGGTGTCTTCATGGGGGCGAGGGGGAGAAATCTGTGGGACTGTCCTTCAGGGACAAGGCTTCCTCCATGTACGCTCCCGTGGAGCCGGGAATCCAGGATGAACCCCGTGTCCAGCTCCTCCCCAGAGCCGGAGGGCTCTCGGGAGCTGTCTGGGGCATGTGGCCAGGCTGACAGCATCTCCGGACACGGCCCTCCGGCAGCTCGGTTGTCCAACTGTCTGTCCTGCTGTCTGCAATGCTGTCCCCTCCCACTTTGCCCTGCAGGTCTGCATGGAGTATCTGAAGGACACCAACATGCTCTTCATCGGGGGGCTGATGGTGGCGATTGCAGTGGAGCACTGGAACCTGCACAAGCGCATCGCCCTGCGGGTCCTGCTGATCATCGGGGTTAGGCCTGCCCTGTGAGTGTGCACGTGAAACACACGTGCCAGGGTGAGGGAGGTGTCTGGCAGTGAAAGGCTGGGAAATCACATGGGCTGCTGTTCATCTAGGACCATCCCTTAGGGGCTGTCTCACACCTTCCCAGTGCTACCCGGAGCTGGGATCTGGGTAATGAACCGCTGGACCCTCTGACACACACAGCAACCTGCTCTCTTCCTTTCCACTTCCATATGGACTGACTGCACAGGCTATGCTTAATGTTGTCCATCCAGGAGACCACAGGGAAGGGGCAACAATAAATCAAACACCAGACCACAGAAAAGCTCTGTGTGAACAGCTAGAGGCCTTGGTTTGGGGGGGAGGGGGAGACAGGGCATCCATACATAAAGAGATGGGAGAGCTTGAGCCCACTTGATTTGGAAAGGGGGACTGTAAAGCAAAATGAGAGAGGTCTACGAGACAGATGGAGGGAGTGAAATGGTCCTGCCAGCTTGCCCTGTCCCAAGAGATGCACCAAGGGAAAAAAAATGGGAAAAAAGCAAAACATTTCACATGCAGCTTATAATTGGTGACCCTCACTGCCGAGGAGGCATGTAGCAGTGTAAGAGGCAAACAAGGAGCAGGCTTTTATGTATGCAGCTACAAGATAGGATCAAATGATCTCCTTACTTCACGGTGTAAACCGATCCCCATCTGGGCTCCAAAAGGAGTTCCCATGATACATGGATGCATTACGGAGGCTGCACACAAGCATCTGACGCTGGCCTCTGTTGGGAGCTACGTCCCAGACCTGGCGGGCAGCTCGTCTGCTCAGCACAGCTGGCCTTGCTTCTCTATTGCCAAGACACCCCCAAGCAACAGTGGAGCAGGTTTGCACTGGCCAAACCTGGGGCACGGGGCTGCGATTGGGGAGATTTCTGGGGATTCGCATCCCTCACCTTTGTGGTGCCATGTCCAGGGCAGCACCACACTGCTGGTGCATTGGCTTTGTTGGGCAATCCCTGGTGCAACAGCCCCCTTGGCACCCTTCTGTATTGGAGCTCTGCATGGGATCCACATTGCAGGCCAGAAACTCAGGCCAGCTTGTCCCCACTGGTGGTAAAGGGAGGCAATGTACCTCACCAGGGCATGCAGAGACATCTGCTCAAGGGAAAACCCCAGCACGGCCGCACAGGGATGCAGCGGGCGGTGTCTGGCTGCAGCAAGAGCCATGGCACAGCCTAGCCCGAACAGCATCTGCAGGGCATTACAGCTTGAGAAGGCAGAACTGGAGAAGGGAGATCAGCCCAAAGGGTCATTAGTGGGATGCCGTTGAGCTCGTTACGCCACATACATCATTTTAGCATGGAAGCCTTGCCCCTCCACCCTCTCCTAAGCCCCTCTAGCCTTCCTGTCTACCCTGAGAGGGAGGGTGGGCTAGTTGTTAATCCTACGTACAAGTAAACCCTGTGTGCTCATGGACTGAGAGAGCAGGAGATGCTTTTAATCTTGTTGTGTCCAAGGGAGGGCAGAGGCTGGGTGGCAGGGGCAATGGATAAAAGGCCTCGTGCCCTTACTTTCTGACATGACCTTCCCCCTTCACTGCAGGCTGCTCATGGGCTTCATGGTTGTCACTGCCTTCCTCTCCATGTGGATCAGCAACACAGCCACCACAGCCATGATGGTGCCCATCGCACAAGCAGTACTGGAGCAGCTGCACAAGTCAGAAGTGGAGGCAGGCCCAATTCAGCACACGTCTGAGAGCATCAATAAAGCCTTTGAGCTGCAGGAGGGGTCAGAAAAGTCGGAGGCCTCCAAAGAGAAACAAGGTGTGGAGCCGTGGGTGTTGTCTCCTTCAGGTAACGGGAGGGACCTGGGTGTCTTCTCATCCTCCACCTGCCTCCGTGGTGCTGCTTCCAAATTGCAAGTTTAGAAGGGAGAAAAGTACTTTTGGTGCCCACATGCATCAGAGATGTCTGATGCCAGATGGCCCTGCATGTAGGCAAAGGCATAGCAATGCCCAATTGCCAAAACTGGAAAAATTCAACCTTGGGACAGGATAAAAATTGCAGGCAGGCAAGTAGCTGCTGGAAGAGCTTGCCTAGGAACGTATCACATTTCTGTCCCTTGAAGTCTCTAAATCGAGTTAGATGCCTTTCTAAAAATACCCCGTGGCTCAGCCACAAGCCACTGGACTCCGTTCAGGAGCCGCTGAGTGACATCCTTGGCCTGTTTCGCACTGGGCGGTCAGAGGAGACGATCGTGATGGTCCCTTTTGACCCTGGTGCCCCTGACCGAGCAGCTGCCTCCCTTTGCCTTCCTCTTCCGCCCGCTCTGGCGCTCGAGTGAGGACTGCAAGTGCTCTGCGACGGGGTGGGCAGCTTTGCCCTCCAGGGCTTTGCATTTCTGTTGCAGCTTCCTGAGCTTCTCCCCGCTCTCCCCCTGCCCCACCTCAGGTCAAGCGCGGCTCCTAATTCCAGGTGCTGGTGCTTGCCCACAGTGCCGTCAGATACTGTGTTGGGTTTTCCTCTGCCTGGGGCAATACAGCCATGGAGGGGACAGGGCCCTGGGACCATGTCCAGCTGCCATGCCTCACCGCGGAAGGCCTATTATGCCAAGGCAGGACGTGGGTGTCAGGCAGGCCCCCTCCATCCAGCAGGCTTGCTCACCTCCTTTGTTCGGTCTCTGCCCCCAGGTAACGGGCACATGCTGACAGTGGAGGACGATCAGCGGCTGCGAGAGGAGGAGGAGCGGCTGCGAGAGGCGAAGCACCTGAAGAACTGCAAGGGAATATCCCTCTCCGTTTGTTATGCTTCCAGCATTGGTGGGATTGCAACCCTGACGGGGACCACCCCCAACCTGGTGATGAAGGGACAGGTGGATGAGTAAGTCTGGCTGGAACCCACCTTAGACCCTAGGACTGGGGCTGCTGGTTGTAACTGTGGCTAAGGCCAACTTGCAGCCACTGCAGGGCCATAAAATGTGGGGGGGCACTGGAAGGCAGAGCCAGGACGGGGTGCCCCAGACCCCCGCCCCTCTGGCATGCTGGCCGCAAGGCAGCGGTGGGGGCAGAGCCGTGGTGCTGACATCCATTGTGTTGACAGGCTCTTCCCTAAAAACGGCAACATTGTGAACTTCGCCTCCTGGTTCACCTTTGCTTTCCCGACCATGCTCCTGCTGCTGTTTCTCTCCTGGATTTGGCTCCAGATCCTCTTCCTGGGGTTTAAGTAAGTGGCACGTGCTCACTGAGGCATCACCGATCCTGCCCAGGAGACATTACAATGCCCAGAGGCAGCAAATCATCTCGCCTGTTCCTTGGGCCCCATCACCCCTTCCTTTGAATCCCTCTGCTGACTCTTTGTGCATCATGCACGCTGGTTGCCCTTGTTTCATTATTCTCCATCAAATGCATCCTTAAAAGTCTCCTTGGCTATGGTGCCAGGAAGAGTGTGCCTCTGAGCTGCTCTGTCTGTCCGTACCCATTCGATGTTGCCTACATCTGGATGTTAAGCTCCCTGGGGCAGAGAGCACCTTTTTGTTGCCTCTTCGTAGCACCCACATGCACTGTCCTGCTCCATGGAAGTGTGCTGTGATAACAGAAATAATAAATGCCACCAATACACACTGGCTGCCCAAGAATTTGGTCTCCGATACAATCTGTTTTCTTGAGCTGAGCAGACTTTGGAAACTGCTCTGACATTTGCTTCTCTGTCTCTTTCTAGCTTTGCAAAGAATTTTGGTTGCACCTCAAACGCCTCTGAGAAGACAAAGGAGCGAATGGCTTACGCCGTTATCAAGGAGGAGCATAAGAACTTGGGCTCCATGAAATTCTCCGAAATCGCCGTCTTGTTCCTCTTTGTATCACTGGTGCTGCTTTGGTTTACCAGAGACCCTGGTTTCATGCCAGGCTGGGCAACTTATACCTTCACCAAGGATGGCAAAAGGTAGCTAACCTAAAGAGCCCACTGAAGACTAGGGTCAAACAAGGAGCAAACACTGTGGCACGTACAAATGCCCTTTAGGTATGGTGTTGTGGATAACCCGGTTTATCACCCACAACCTGCACCGGATCTCTGTTCCCAGCTGCAATAAGCCCCATGTAGCTTCTGGCTCCAGCTTTCAGCTATAACATGCCAAACCTAGACGTGAAGCATTGCCCCAAATAGTGCTGCCCCTGCTCCCTCACCCTCCGCGCTCCCAAAACTCATGCCTAGACTCATTTCCTGTTCCCTCTCTTGCAGTTATGTCACGGATGCAACAGTAGTCATCTTCATTTCGCTTTTGATGTTCGTAATCCCTTCGGAGATTCCCAGCTGCTTCTCTCGTGCTAATGCGGGGCATGCTGAAGACAACGGTAAGAACCAGCTCAGACATCAGAGACCCATGCTGTGAGTTTCCCTGCACCGCAGATACTCAGGGGGATCTGAAAGCACCGAAGAGATCCCACAGAACAAAACAGGGGACGCGTCTTCAGACCCATCTGGACTTTCCTGCAGGGCTTTGCTCTGATCATGCAGAATGACTGTTTCACGTAGGTTAAGTCACTGGGGAATGACACAGAAAAGGTGCTGAGGCTGGAGGGCCCGTGACGGGACAAGGGATTTCTGGAAGGAGCATTTAACAGCTCCGAGGGTATGTTCCCAGACACCTGGTCGCCCCACCACCTCCCGGCAAGCTCCCTGCAGCCTGCTCTGAAATGACAAGGCTGTCATCACTTCTGCAGAGAGGAAGATCTATAGTCTAGTCGATCTCCTTGACAGGAAGCATTTTCCGCTGCTTGGCCTAAAGTCCATCTCCCTCCAGTTGCTCTCAGGGGCAACACAAGGGCCAGGGAGTTTTACCAGCATTGGACACTGCCATTATGACGGGGCATTAGGGCACCACTGCCCCGTGTTAGGGGAGGCACACGCAGGGGAAGGGCTGGGGAAACCGCCCGGCCCCGGCCCCATGGACAGAGCAGCCGTTTATTCTTTCCCCTTGCGCTCCAGGATGCAGCTTCCCTTCCCCAGCTTGATGCCTTGGCTTTGGATTTCAGGTGGTGCAGGGCAGGTCCGAGTGCCTCCGCCCCTCCTGCAGTGGAAGACCATTAATGAGAAGATGGCCTGGAACATCGTGATTCTGCTAGGAGGCGGCTTTGCTCTGGCCAAAGGCAGCGAGGTAACGTGGTCTATCCGAAACATCTGCCCTCATGCACGCCTCTTTGGCCAGCAAAACTCTCGTGGTAGAGGCGATATCTTTTATTGGACTGACTAAATAGCAGGAAAGAAATGTCTTTCTTTGCAAGCTTTCAGGCTCAAACGCCCTTCCGCAGGCTAAGGAGAATTCAACGATTATAAAACTTCTCCCAGGTAGAAATGAAACTTCATCTTGCACAGCGGAGTTAAAAGATGGCAGGGATCCCCTGTGTACGACAGCCCACTGTAAAAAGGGCTGCTCTGTAAGCATGCAAAGACAGATGACAGGCAGAAGCAGGCTTGTTACCTGATGGGCAGGATGTTGAATTTTGCTTCTCTCTTGTTCAGCCGTGAAGTTTTCATTTCAAAACAGCTAATTACGACATCTTCCATGTTTCAGGGGTATTGTTTTTCTCTTTTTCCACTTATCCCCGTGTGACACTAGGGGCCGCCCCAGCCGCACAAACCATCCAGTTTCTCTGCTAGAGCCAGGGAAGGACTCCACCGCCCTCTGCCCTCGTCACACAGGGGCAGGGGGAGGCAGGGCTGAACACAGCCGCTGCCACCACCCATTGAGACCGTGTTGGCGCAACAGAGTGCCACGGTGGGCGAGAAGCACTAACTATTTCAAGCCTCTTTACTGCTGAGCGCTGCCTTTGTGCAATGTGCTCCAGCCACGCAGCCGCCAGCCCCGCTGATGCAGACTCCTGACCTTACAGCTGGGGGTATACATTGCATCCACTTCCCCTGCCCAAGAGACATTCAGCCACTATTACTTTTATCAAAGTCTGGCTGCACCATGGACAAATAAAGTCCTGGAGGAAGATGGCACAATACAGTGAACAGTCTAAGACAGAAGGCTTTTTCTACGTGCTGGTGACACACAGGTGAAGGGCGAGCAGCAGTAGACTCAGCTGAGCTGCCAGACAATGCGTAGCCCATTCCTCTCTCCCCCGTTTTAGCAAATAAATTTTGGAAAGCTGACCCTGACGTCACCTGAATGCAAGGAAGTGCAGATTCGAATAGACAGAGCTTCCTAAGAACGAGTCATTAGTTTTGCTGCGGTAACGGCTAGAACCCCGGACAGGGATTAGGAGCCATCGTGAGAGGAAGGTACACATTCCCAAGAGAAAGGCGGCCCTAATCCTTGAGATTTTATAATCTCGGCATAAGACAGAAGACAATAGGTGGAGACAACAAACAGATGGTGGGGATTAGTATAATGAAGCGGCAGTAACAGCACACCAGACATGTACTTGCCATGGCCTTTCGTAGGCATTACAGCAGAAGTTTGCAGAGGAGAACTAATATAGCGCGTCGCAGACTTGTCTGGGGACCTACTCACAGACATCAAGGGTGACCTGGGAGAAAGTGTACTGCTTCTTATAATGAAGGTCTGATTCATTATAAGAAACAAAGGCCAGTATCCCAGCTTGATACCGCATAAGACATGAGCAGGATGAGACTACAAAGGATCTGATGAGTGAGAGCAAGCTGAATTTGAGAAGCAGTGGAGAAAAGGGAGCCTCCAGAGGGAAGCAAAGGGGGGAAATGAGGCGACTGAAGGGTGAGGAGCCAAACAGATCGTGTTGTGGGGATATCAGTAGCTGGAGCAGTTGAGACGGGATGAGGAGCAGATCTGGACAAGCGTCCACTGCCTTGGTAAAGTGGAAAGACGAGATCATGGACACGTGCAGGAAGCAGCAGTGCGATATCGGGTGTAGCAAGACAGCCGAGTAAAAGGAGGGTTGTTGGGGGGCAGCACGCGTGGGCACAATCGAGCAACCCGTGTTGGCAGCCTCGCTCCCTGGGCACCTCTAAGGAGACATCAGGATGTCAGGGCAACTCGTGCCCCGAACAGCCTGGAAAGGGGAAAGGCTCCCTTAATATCAGGGAGGCATTAGCATGAAAAGGCGCGCTTGTCCGCCTCCAACCCGCTGCCTCCTGTTGTCTGTGAACAAGGTCTGTTTGTGCCTCTGCCGGGAGCAGAGCCGCAGAGGGGAGCACCGCAAGCGGCGCCCGTGCGGTTGGCCAGGAAACCTGCCGTGAGCCCAGTTCTCTTCTGGCGCTTGACCAGGACCCGGCTCTGCTGACAGCTCTCTCTCCCTCTCTTCCAGGAGTCTGGTTTGTCTCTGTGGCTGGGAAACCAGCTGACCCCTTTGCAGAACATCCCACACGCAGCCATTGCTTTGCTGTTGTGCCTCCTGGTTGCCACTTTCACTGAATGCACCAGTAATGTGGCTACCACCACCCTGTTCCTTCCTATTCTGGCTTCAATGGTAAGTCCCTCCTTTGCAAACTGCTCTTGGCAGAAAAGCCTCTGGCACGCTCGATTCTTCCAAGTCCTACAGGCCGGCAGCAGACAGGTCACGTACTCGAGTGTGCTAGTGAGGGTTAAGGGGCACGTACGTGTGGACGTGCAGGTGTCTTCTAACTACCAAGCTCAACTTCTCCAGAATAATTCAGTACTGGTGAAAGGCAGTGGGACTGACAGGGGCACTCCACCATGCCTCAAAGCTACAGCACGGACTAGATGACTTCTTGTAGCCTCTTCCAGCTCCACTCGTTTCGACGCTTAGCCGTAGCGTCCCCCAGGCACTTCCCCTTGAGTGCAGAGTTTTCTTTCAGCTGCCCATGGGTTTGGTCCTGATGACATTTTTCACTTGGGTTACTCTCCTTGGATTCAACCCCCGTTGCTATTCCAGCAGTGGCCGAGTGCCCCAGTCAGGATCTGGCCCTTCACAAGCCGGTCACAGGACCCTGTAGCTTCCCCCGCAGAAAAGAAATGATGAGGAGCGTCCAATGCAGGCCCAGAAAACCGGCGGCAGGGGCAGAGCTCATGTTGCTGCCAGGCACAGACAGACTGCGCTATGCCCATGGCCTCTGAGGCCATCAAAGCTGACACCACCTTCCCCTCCCTGTCCCGCAGGCTCAAGCCATCTGCCTCCATCCTCTCTACATTATGCTGCCCTGCACGCTGTCTTCATCCCTCGCGTTCATGCTGCCAGTGGCTACCCCGCCCAACGCCATCGTCTTCTCCTACGGCCAGCTCAAGGTTCTGGACATGGTAAGTGTGACCGGGGGTTCGCAGTTATATGGCTTGCGTTTTCTTTTCTAGCCAGCTTCTTGGAATAAGAGTCTGGCCTCTGCTTCGTCCCCTGGGTGCCCTGCTAAGCTCACATGGAACAAAAAGCATAGAGGTGTGAGCTAGCGCAGGCTCGCTGTGACCTGAGAGAGGCCCAGAAAGGGACGGGGGCTACACTGGCAGCAAGCAGCCAAGGAAACTGCATGGACTAGGTCTCTTAGCTGCCCCCGGAGCTGCAGGGAGCAGATGGGAAATGGAACGGCACAGTGGTGCCGAGACCCATGTGCAAACGGTGGGGAGGCGAGGCTCTTTGGGTAGAAGTGATATCTTTTATTAGACCAACTAAATAGTTGGGGAAAAGTTCTTTGCAAGCTTTTGGGTCCTAACCCCTCTGCAGTGCTTCAGCAAAGCCTCAGACACCCCGTCCCGGTTACTGCAGGCCTGCACTGCAGCTGGGTCAGCGGTCTTTCTCCTCATAGCACAGGAAGATGTGAGCCTCTGCACAAGAGCCCTCTCACTCATTTATTTGTAGTTGATCTAAGAGAACTGACCCTACCAGTTCAACGAACATCCCTGCAGGTATTTCTCTGGGAGAGAAAGTCTGGGATTCGGGCATGGTCCCAGACCTCTGCAGTGACTTGGTCCGAAGCGCACGGAAACTCAAAGTTCCCCCGACAGCTCGGTTATAGAGCCCAGCTCCCCTGATGCAAATGACATCTTTGGCAAGAAAGCAGGCAGGTTAAAGTCTGGGCCAGGTCATATTGGATTTGCTATACATAAAAATACCCCTTTCTGTCAAACAACAAAGCCAGGGAGATATCAAGTTGCCTGAAAATTCCCAGATCCTGCTGGAAGAAATATCCCTTCCGATTTCCAGTGCTGGGGAGCACGGTTACACCTCTCCACATCTGGTGTGGAGGGCTGGGCAGGGCACGCTAGGAAAAGGGGTACCATACACAGCATGGGAATGCAGGGGCTGGTCCAGCCGCCGAAGCAGCCCAGACTCGGTGCTGCGCAAATGCAGCGTAAAGACATCTCAGCTGACGCCGCCCTCCCCACTTAGCTGTGCACTGAGATGCACCTTGCACGCAATGGCGATAATCCCGTCTGTTGTGACCACGACCCTTGAAGGCATGCCCAAGTGCAGCCACCCTCGCTCCATGCATGCTGGCACCCACGTCTTTTCCCAGCGTCTCAGGCTAGTCTTGCACCCCAGGCTGGGCTCTGCACTCCCCAGCTCTGCTGCTACTGGTGCTGAAGCTGGCTGGGAAGCCCAGCACAGTAGCCTGTTCATCCTCCCCTACTCACTAGTGCATGGACCAAAGGACCCAGACCTGCCCCTGGGTCTCCAGGTCCCAATGCAAAGCAGGCCCGTGGATGGACACAGGTGCCAAACTTGGCTGGGAGCCCCAGGAAAAGCAGGGTGGGAGAGGTCGCTCAGCTCAGCTAACAACTCCATGTCTTTACAATCCTAGGCCAAGGCTGGATTCATGCTCAACCTACTGGGGGTTCTGACAATCACCCTGTCCATCAACACCTGGGGCTACTCCTTATTCCAGCTCCACACCTTCCCGACCTGGGCAAACAGCACGTTAGCAACTTGCCACTAACACGGAGAAACAGGGCAACCAACAGCTGCCGGGGAGGCCACCCCCATCTACGTAAGCTTTGCTGAGCCGGTAGAAACATGAGACAGGCCACATCTGTGGAAGCAGACACGTCATTTAGAAGCAAACTCACCCAAACAAGAACTGCCGCGGAGTCACCTGACTGTTCTGCAGCACGCAGGGGAAGGGTTACACCAGCCGTGAGATGTAGCCTGGCACCGTGCAACCCCTGCGCTTGTCTCCAGAGAACCGCTGGGAAATGTCCCCCCCTCCCCCCCACTCCCACCCCATCTGTCTGCTCTCGACTTCACCTGCCAAATCCAGCACTGAGTGAGAAAAGAAAGAGGAGCAAGTGCAACAAGATCGTTTGTGCAAGAGAAAGGAATGGTACCTGGTGTGTGTGCACGCATGTGTGTGAGCACATGTGCGTGCACATGCCCTTGAAATGAACTGTAGAGCCCCGTGTGTGCACACAGCTCCATGTGCACCTGGGCATGCGTGTGCACTCTACCACTGGCATGCTAAAAGCGTGTCGTTCAGCCATTAGGGACAGATCAGAGCTCTGTCCAGCCCCCGCTGTTGCTTTGTAATTTATTTATTGACCGGTCCGTAGCTGAGGTTCGGAGCAGCTCCCGGGAGCAGGCGGCTGGTTTCAGTCCTGCGGCCATCGATAGGCGTCTTGAGGTCTGAAGGCCACAGCTGGAATAGTTGTGTTCTCCTGAGAGTGGGGAAAGTTTTCTTTCCTCAATGTCAGTTGAATTAAAGGACTTTTGTGCAATGCCTGCATTCTGGTCAGCTTCTCTACCCGGGCTTCCACCTCACAAGAGGTCCGGCCCCTACTCCCATCCTGGTCAGGTAGGTTTGATGCTAATAGCGCAGGCGGAGAAGAGGTCCCGCTAAGATTGCAGGCTAACATAGGTGCGTCCTGTCCTGCTAAGGACACACCAGTTCGTTTGTGCATAGCAGGACAGAGACAAGCTGGGCAATGCGCAGAACTCAGGCTGAGGCGAGCCCCGAGCTGCTGCTGCCTTTCTGGATGCCGGCAGCCTTCTCAGCCCAAGCGTGTGGCCTGCTGCAGAAGACAGACCTGCAGAAGGGAGGAATTGCTAGAAAAGGGCTGAATGGATCCGCCCCTGGGAGGCCCCAAATGTGCCAGGTGTTAAATAAACACTCTGGGCTCAGCTCATCGCTAGGTGGCAACAGGTGTGCTAGAAATGGGCACATGCCAGCCAGGCTGCGCGGGCTCCCTGCCCTGCCCTGCCCCAGGGCCCAGAGCAGCTAGTGCTTCAACAGCGGGAGAGGATGCACAGCCCAGTCTACCTCCAAAGCTGTCCTCGCCTGCGGGAGCCCAAGGAAGGGCGGGGAGGGGGACATCTTGCTTTCCACCTAAGATCGATCCTCGCTCTGGTGCCCTGCCTCTTCAGCACTGGCTGCAGCACGGTGTGACACCAAGTTTACTTCATCCCAGAGCTGCAAGTGCAAAACGTGCGGAGGAAAGGGGGTGCCCACCTGTCTGCCCCAAACACGCGTTCAGCGCAAACCCACAAAGTATCTGCCAGCCAGCAAGCAGGCGGCTCACGGTCCCCTCCTCTTGCTTCCCTGGAGTTATAGCGCTGAGCCTGGCCTTGCACAGATGCACACCCATCCATGGAGCTGCAGGCACACACATGTATACACAGGGGACCACGAAGAACTCCCCCTGACACTCCCACATCCCCTGGACATGGACACACTCACATGTCCACTGCACATGGCACACACATGGGCACACATGAATGCCAGCTCATAAAGCAGTACAAAGATCGTTCATTTAGACAGTAGTTTTCACCGTAAAAGATCCAAAAACAGTCTGTGGAGTGGTACACAAATGATGCCCAGGCACAGGTTGGCCAGGTCCAGAAACGCTGCCCCGTGCGGGGTGGAACGCACTGTGCGTCTGAATGCAAAGCCGCACCGCCAAAGAGTTTAGAGCAGGGAGGGAAGAGCAATCCCACAGCCCGATCCCACAGAGGGATGTTACACAGACACGGAGGACCGGGGCCTGCTTAGTGTGGTGGGTGCCGCAGGAGCTACGCGAACTGGAAATCCAGCTGTGCCCCGTGCTTCACTTCTGCAAGCAGGTACATCTCAAGGCAATGCACTGCGGTCCCCAGAGATTCATTCTCAGCTCGATTCTCCCTGCCACAGAGGGAAAGATGTGATTCTGGAGCTTCCTTCAGGCATTTCAGTGCACGGCTGGCTAAAGAGCAATTACCAGCCCCTCCATGCCGCCCCCTTGCACTACATTTTCAGATCCCAGCTGGAGCGTGGTGGACAGCACATGCCTAGGAGGTCCCTGGAAATCTGAGCATCATTCAGAGCCACTACAAAAACGTGACGTATAAAGCAGCGTGTAGCAGTGAACTGACAATCACGTGACGTCACTACCGATGTCAGCAGGAGCACCGTATGCCATCCGTGTCCTTCCCCCTGGCCACGAACCAGGTAGCAAGGAATACGTGGAACAGTTAATGGGAACACAGTGGACTCCCACCCGGAGGTGAGGGAACCTCAACTTTTCCAGAGGACATCTGCCTCCTAGGGCACAGCCTCCAGACCTGTGCACAGCAAGTGGGACTGGAAATCAACACCACGCACTCTGAAACCAGGGGATCGGCACACAGCAAGCACAGCGACAACAGGTTCTGGGACTGAAACGGGAGATATTTGCTATGTCACACATCTTGACACTGTACTGTGAGCAAAACAGGTGGGACGATGAAGGCATTCAAGCCAGAAGAGCAAAAGCCAAACGTAACTTTGTCAACCTGATGCCTATCTGGGGGGGAGGGGAATCATGTTGCCCTCCAAATTAAACCCCACCAGCACTAAATATATAGCAACAACTGTCACACAACGTGAAGCTGAAACCTGGATGTTTCTCAAGCCCCTGCTTCTGAAACAGCGGTATCGACAAAACTTCAATACCCGGGGCAGAAAAAAAAAATCACAAACAAAGCACTTTGAAAAAGCACAAAACACAAGCCAAGAGGATCAGGAATAACAGGACCAAGATGGAGATGCGTGGGACAGGCAAGGGCAATGGGAGGTCAGACTGGAGCCCCCAAGTCTGCGGTGCCAAGGAAGACTAATGATCAGGGAGCCTGGTTTTCTCTGATCAAAAATCCCCAATTTTCAGATTAAAAAAGGTAACCCAAAATCCACATTTTTCCATGATCAAAATGAAATGCCACTAATATATAGACATATGGCGGTACTTCATTTTAATCATGTAAAATGTGGATTTTGGGTTACTTTTTTTAATCTGAAAATTGGGGATTTTTTTTAAGCCGGAGATAACCAGGATCCCAGCTAATGATGTCCTAGAGACACAGAACAAGGGGGGAATTAAAACCATCAAAATGAATGGCAGGAAGCACAGACTGCTTCCATCAGAGATGGAAGACCGTAGCAAAGGCCTCTCCATCCAAAGGGAACAAAGAGGCAAAAGCACGTGCACCAGGCAGGGGGGTTTCTCCCCAGAGCCCGGAGGTTTTATCACATTGTATACAGCGGTATATAGCACTGCTGTGATTATTCACTGCAATATTAGCTGTTGTATTATTGTCCGAGAGCTACAGAACAAGCACACGTGCATGCACATACACACCCTTCCCAACCCAAACCGATCCCTTTCTTAGCAAAGGAACCAATTCCCTGCTCATTTGTCCCTTCATCGCGCAGGTAAGACATGGTGGCTGTAGTACATCTGTAGCGTAAGTGGGAAGCTGACACTCGCTGCCCTTGCCAGCTGCTCGCCAGCAGCGCGTTCACTTCCAGTGCATCTCGAACCATAAAAGCTGTTTTGAATGTCCTGTGCAAAGGGATAGCAGAGTGCGGAGGGGAGGATGAGAAACTGCATTGCACTGAACTGAGAAATACAAAACTACAGCCAACCAAGGAATTGCAGAAACCCCAATCCTTTTCCAGCACAGGGCAATAAAACCACTTACAGTGCACTGCACTTCAGGAGCTGCATGAATAGTGATACGGTGCCAAAGCTTGAAGATGAAATGGTTTGCACACAGTGATCACAGGCTGTCCAAAATAATAGCGGCCTAATGGCTCTTCATCGGCACAGCCAGCACAGGGCATGGTCTCCTCTTAAACACACATTTAGTGTCATTGATCCTTTAATCTTGTTAACAGACTTTGAAAACGTAAAGTTTAGCTGCTCATCAGGGAAGAGAGAAAGAGCCTTGTGCAATGAACCCTGTCGTGGCTGGAAATAGTCTTGCAGCATATCAGCTCTCGGGCCGTGCAGTTCCCCCCTGAAAACATCGTCAGCCAGCTGGGAGGGAAATCTGCTAGGTGAAGAGAAGACAGCGCTAACCCTTGTCAGCAGATCTGCTGCGCTGGAAACAGAGCGATAGTTCAACTGAAGAAAACCCGAGTCAAAGCCGGGGGGAGAAGCTGAATGGGCAGGAGAGAGAGGAGGGAAGAAACAGAAGAGTTTGGTATAACAGGACTGACCAAGCCCTTGAGCAAACTCATATGCTGCCCGTTCTTCACCCTGTCTCTATGCATCGGCACAGCATGAAACACAACCGAGTCCCAGCACTGACTGGTAGCTCCAGGGGCTGCAATAAAATACATTTTGATACCTGCAGATAGCTGATGCTACCAGCACCTCTCTCCAGCTCCTCCTGTGCTGCGCTGCCCCTACTAGAGCTCCCCTGTTGGCTCCTTCTCCCTGCCTTCCCTGCTCTCAGACCTCCCATGCAGGGATATGGGAATTTCCTTGACTTTCCCTTAGCTCAATGCTCATCGTGAAAGCAGAATCGTGAAATGAGCCTGGTGCCCATCCCCAGTGACTGCTACCCTGCAACCAGTGAGATGGTCCTGCCCTCTCACCCTGATCTGCATCAGCTGAACAGATGCGATTCATGCCAGTAGTGACACAGCCAAAATCTCGTGGAAATCAGGCTTCTACTGCGAGTTTTGCTGTTTTAATAAAGCAAAGCAAGAAGTGGTTGGAAATCCCTCCATAAGGAAGGTCCACAGCAGGATGGAGCCGCACGGACAGCATCAGAGAGGAAAGTCCTGTGCAAAAGTACAAGAAGGAAATCGTTCCAGCTCTCCCGGGTATCCTGCCAGCACGTCCTGGACAAACAGTAACGGTTCAGCCGGAGCCGCAAGAGAAAGCCTAGCTTGCCCCCGTGCTGGAGGATTGTCCTGATGAGACTTGCCAGAAAATTCAAAAGGATTTTCGTTATTTGTAAGATGTCTGTCCCCTGAAGCAAGTGTGTGTTTTCCTCTCCTTCCAACCTCTGGCAATATCATTCCTGCCACATGAAATATGCAATCATAAATCACCTGTCTACATCGCAGGTAAGCCAGTCGCACAGTTCACGCTTCCTCGCACCTGTGCTCTTCCTTTCCCTTCTCTTCTGCAGAGCTGATCAAACAGCGCTGAAAGAGCCGCCTGGCCCCAGGAGATCACCGCCGGGGCAGCAGGTGGAGAGCAGCGACCTTGCTAATAGTGGCTTTAGAGGCTGGATGGCTCAGGACCTCTATTGGGTGGCTTATTGGCAGTAACAGCCATTTAGGTCCTGAGTATAATCAGTGGACAGGCATTTCCTCTCACCTACCGACTTGTCTGCGGCCAGTCTCAGCATGCAGCAAAGTGCCACATAGGCCACAGAAATCTCTCGGGCTTAGAAATGATCCTTTCATCCTGGGAATGAGGCGCACTGAGGGGAGATGCCCAGCCCCTACCACACTGCAGGGTACCGGGCAGC